GTGAATACTGAAGGATGTTGGTGAAATATAGTGTACATAAGGATTACAATAGCCAAGAGTTACAATGGTTGAGAGGGATTTCCAAAGGACAAAAATTTAAGTAATTGGAATACACATAAAAAATGAAATTCAGCATAAACAAGTGGGGCATGTCCACACATGCAGGCATGTGCGCTTGCAGCAGCTCTAATAAAAGCACCACAAATTTGAGCCGGGGACTTTTGCCTCGGTGCACGTGCTTGGACATGCACTTTGATGTGGGGCAAGTTGTGCCACTTGGGGCAAAATAACCCTGCCCAGCTCCTCCTGGATCTGCAGCCAGGGGGAGCTAGAGCCCGGGACCAGCACCTGTGCTGGCTAACAGAGTTCCCTGCATCCTCTACCTACTGCAGCAGTCTGGCAGTGGGAGTTGTTGCCTGGCTATGACCTGCTGCCATCTGCGATAGCATGTGGCCCCAAGGCTGCATGCCTGCCAGACCTGGATGGGGACTGCATGGCTACAATGGACTGTGGCTGCAAAGCTGGCCTTTGTGTGGCACTATTGCCATGTGTGCTGTCACCCTGCCATCTGGATAGCTATCGCCCAGAAGATGTTCTCAGCGTGGTGGCCTGCTTTGAATTGTCAAAGCATGCCTTCCTGGCCACCTGAGGTCAGCCACCTCCTGCTGGGTCCCAGGTACCAGCTGTGAGAAGGCTCCTCTGCCTGGGTCCTGCCACTTGCCTCACTAGCAGGAATTCTGGTGTTCCCCATTTAAAAACTGCAAAATCTCTGATAAAAAAAATCCTGAAGTCACTGTTTAAAATACCCCAAAATTAATGTTCTTCCACAATTAAAACAAAAGATCACTCTATATATGGCCCACTTTGGGGGGGGGGGGGGGGGGGAGGTCTGATACCTGGATATCCACATATCAAATTTTGAGCCCACGCTGAAAATACGCAGCATGGGGAACATTTTTTTGGTCCCAGCGTGAATTTTGCTATGTCTCAAACTGCTTTGAGATGTGGCAAGAGGCACGTGCAGGCTCATCTGGATGCGCCTGTGTAGAGTAATTCTGATTAGAAAGGAGTTTAAATCTAGCTGCATTTACCAATGAGTTTTAAAATCAGTTTTTAGATTAAATATCTAGGTGTCATTGTGAGGAGATAACTAAATAGTCATGACAAAAAAGAGCTTTGTAAAAACAAGTACAAAGAAGTTCAGTCCCAATTCAGGAAATGCATAAACATGAGCTCAACTAAGTGTGTCATTAGTCTGCTTAAGTTGTCATGTCTATTTACTTGCACAAAGTTAAGAACATGCTGAAACATTGCTGAATGAGAGAATTATGTAGCGTTTGTTAAAGACCCCAATTCCATTGTCACAGAAAATATTTGTAAAATTTCTATTGGCTTTAACAAGAGTAGGTCTGATCCCAAACTAGGTATGCTGCAGTCCCCTTTACAAAGGCAAAATGGGTACATCTCTCTGTGGTGACCCAGTTCCTTGCGCTCCCAGCTCCTGGCAAAATAGTGTAGAGGCCAGGCACAAACTGGTCCTCTATTTGTAAACACATCTGCATACATCTCTTTTGTGTTTTTCTAAGAAAATCAATAGGAAAACAGGATATTTCTTTAAAAGTTCATTTTTCCTCATTGATACTTATTTCCCACCTGCAGTCACAATCTTCCACTTGTGCCATCAGAAATGGTTGCTGTGGCAATCAAAGCATAGACCAGATTCGTTCCAGATTTAACTCCCCCAATTTCAAGAGAGTTACAATAGAAGACAAATGTGGTACTAGCACCACAAACATTAAGAAACAATTTTAATGACAATATGTATGACAACATTCTTGGTGGAAGTCAAAGGGGAAAAAAGGCTAAAAAACAACATAAGAATTGTTCTCTAAGCAAAATATTCTTCAATATTTTCTAAGAGACATCAGCTAACTTTAAAAAACAGTAAATGTGCACTTAATAAGGAAAGAACATGAAATGCAATTTTATATATAAAGAAATGCTAAATCCATAGCTGAACTAAAAGTAAGAAATACAGAAAACTGGAAGTTAACAGCTCTGGATTTTAAACTCTGCAAATCAAAACAGATATCTAATGAACTGCAAATACATTTTTTGAAGTGCTAGATAAAATTAAAATCTTGTCATCTAAGCCAAGTGGTGGTTCCCAAATCAATTCTTTTCTCTTAGGATATTTTACTGTCTTCTGCAAGATTTCAGGCCCCTATTCAGGGGAGAATAGAAAACAGAAGCCTTAAGGCAAATAAAACTCTACAAGTTGAAATCAGGGTGGGTGGCCAAGGGCCACATACAACTGTGAAGCTGATACTGAGGTCAGACTTGTAATGACCAGTCTTTGATTAAGAAAACTGCAAATGCTTCTGAAATATTTGAATATTTTACCAGAAAATGTTACCAGAAAAGTAGATATAGCACTGATTTATTTAGCATGCTGAGTATCCTTTCTGCCTGTTTGTATTTTAACCTTATAATTAAACCCATGTAATGGTTTCCCCTCCTCCATTTTTTCTAGAAATTCCTGTAATTTGGCAAAGAATTTCATGGTTTGAACTGAAGCTGTCTATTCTCAATGACAGAAGTTCTGACTTAGGACTAAAATACAAAGGGAAATTCACACACGCTCTCTCTCTCTCTCTCCAGCAGCAGTTTAAGACCCAATACTATTCTTGCTGACTGCCTTAAATGCCAGGCAGTTTGGGCCTTAAAAGAGAAGAATATCATGGTATCACCATAGAAACCAACAGCGCTCAGATGAGAAACAGAAAGAGTGACGAATTAAAGGAAACATGGGAAAAGCAATTTGCTTTTACACTTACATTATATGAAGATACTTGCTCAGCCAGTCTCTTGTCCCTCCTCGAAAATACAATTTCTTCATCACCCTTACTGGTTGACTTCTTTGCCTCATGCATTTCCTGATGAATGGAAGCAGATTGCAAGTATTAGTAAGCAGCACACTTCAAGCAACAAAGAAGTCTATATTTAAATGTAAAGGGAGCAAGCCAAGATGAAGCTTTTGTATCTCTGCCCATCAGGCATTTTTGTCCAGCTTGATTTAAAAAAAAAAAAAGCGCATACAAGCCTCAATGTAATTGGATGTTCATTAAACTGATACAGAATTGACTTCACTTGTTGTTGGCGAGAACAAGAAAGAATTTTACTCAAAATGGATATTCTCTAACCTTTAGGTCTGAACTGTGTGTGTGAGGTAAGTAATGAGAAAACTTCCTTTAGGCTTTCCTGAATGGCTGAGGCAATCTTCAGTTTATTTTCTTAGTCTTCTCAAGTACTAACAACATATATCATCTACATGTCTATACAAATGATTAAATACTCACTTTGGCTTTCCTCTCTCTGTCAGCTGGAGTATCTGTCCAAATTGATCTATCTCCTGATTTGTCATCAGCTCTTCTCTTGAAAGTTCTTGGACCCAATCCAAATTTTTTCAATTCTGGTGGAAGCTCTGTCATCCAAGATTCCCTTGTAACTCGCTTGGACCCATCCTTTAAAGTAAAAAAAAAAAAAAAAAAAAAAAAGGAAAGAAAAATATTGGAACCAACCCCACCATCCTGTAGAAATTATGACTCTTTCTGGTTACCATCTCTTCTTAAAAGCCACAAGAAAAGTACAACTGGAAAAGATTCAAAGAACTGCTAACAGATCAGGAAAACAGCACAGAGTCAGCAAAATTATTTATAAAACTTACATCGTCTGTACAAGTAAGCTTTTCTTTCATCCTTTGAGCTCTGTATTCAAACTCTCTAGTGACATCAGATTCCACTGGTCCTTTGGCAGGCATCGGACCTATGAGATCATCATCCTCTTCACTACTATCTGCTGCCTTTCAAATATAAAATATGAAACATATCCATCAAACATAGGAATAGAATAATAGCTCCATAAAATGTAAATTATTTGATCTAGTAGTTCAGATAGTCTATTCAGTAACTCAATAGCTTGTTTTACTTCATGCTGAGAAATGACAGAGGGGCTAGAGTATGTGCATGTGGCAAGCATACACCCAAAAGTTGTGTTAAAGCTTCTAGGAATATTGACCAACATTTTTAAGCAGCCATGTTGTTTTAGTTCTGTAACTCCCATTGCCTTTCAAAGAAATCACACAATGTCTAATACTTATACTTCTGAATGCATCATCCCTTGTGGTTTCCCAGACCTGAGGATGGGAACTTTGTGCCCAAAAGCTCATTTAACAGCTCTCTTGACTATATACTGTATTCACCTGAATCCAAGACAATCCCCTGATAATTAGATTCTATCCATGGAAAATGTATAAGTATGTTATAATTTTCCATGTACAGAGTCTGATTATTGGAGGATATAGTCTTAAAATTTGTCTTTATGACTGCAGAATGGGGAGAAATATGGCAGGGGGAAAAACGTCCCCCCCCCCGCCGCGCTTCATCCCCCCCCAAACCTCTGCTTCCCAGCAGCCTTGGGTCACCACCCCCTCCAGCCCCCTTCCTTCATCCTCAGGTCTCGCCCCCTCCTTCTTCCCCACAAACCTCCTCCTGCTTACCTTTGCTCTGGCACTAGCAGGCTCTGTCTCCACTCCATCCTGGGGCACAGTGCATGGCCCCAGCCTGCTCCTTGAGCAGTGTTGCAGAGCTGGCAACACTGCTACAGGGCTGGACTGGGGCCATGCTCCATGCCCTAGGTTGGAGCAGGGATGGAGCCTGCTGGCACAGAGTAAGGTTAAGGGTAGGGAGGGACAGTGGGAGCAGAAGCTACAGCAAGGGAAGAGGAAAGGGGAGGAGGGCAGGGGTCCAAGGCTGCGAGGGGGCAGAAGCAGCATGGAGGCAGACAGGGTGGGCAAGCGGGGGCTTGAGGTTGCCATAGGGAGAAGCAAGGGGTGTGGACACAGTAGGGGTACAGGCAGTAGCTGCAGCTGAAATCACAGCCCGCCCCCCCCACCTCATACTCGATTGTAAAACAAGGGGCTATTCCCCTGTGTTAAATGGGGGAAAAAAATCTTGTCTTGGAATAAAGTAAATACAGTAGTTTGTCCAATAAAGAGATTGCCAAACAAATCTTTCCCCTTGTGGTTAAGAGTATTCTTGCCAGAGAGAGATTAATAAATATTTTATCATGTGTAGAATTCCTACCAGTAGGGTGATATCATTATCTCTTAATACTCTGCTCATACCCCTGTAGCTCACCAGCCATTAAGATTAGAAACAATTCAAGGGTACATATACAACTGTAATATTATAAGCATCCGGTATCTTTATTCATTACATTTAAACTTATCCCTGTAAGTACGTATGTTGTTTTATGGATAATATTGTATACAATAAATGCGAACTCTAAAGATTTTAGAATTTGACCCAAACTTAAAACTGTGGGGATGCCATGGAGGATGACAGCAGACAAAGGGAGGGGCAGAATGAACAAAGAAATGCGCAGAATATGCTTATGGATTGGCTTCACTGGTACTGCTGTGTTAGTATTAATATTTCTTTTGTTTTAGAATTATTAGTATTTTGTATCAGTATTTCTTTTAAATTACCTGCCAACATTTCTTATTGTGCAAGGCATTGTACTGTTTGAAGGATTGGATGTGTCAGCTTTGAGAGGATGCTGAAAGGAGTAAATGATAAAGGGTTCCAGGTGACCTGGGAGAAGGCATAGAGGTCTTCCTGGGTTACAGACCCAAGTACCTGGGTGAGGGAGGCAAGAACTGGCAAGCCCAGATTCTGAGCTGGCAGCCAACCAAGGACAAGATTTATGAAGGGTCAAAGAATGCAGAGAGCTAACTAAGTGAGGATAAGGACCTTGAGACTCATGTGTAAGTGGACATGGGGCTTATGAAGTAGGGAGATGTAAGCAATTTGGGGTAGTTTTGGTTTTGCTGTGTTGAGGTAAGGGACATTCAAATGGTGACTGCGACACTGGCAGATTCAAGGATGAATAGACTGGCTAAATAGCCTTAACGTTCCTGTGTAAAACGGAGGATATTAGAACTGATGAGGTCACAGAGAGATAAGAGAAAGGAGTCATCAAGGAGATAACCCTGCTAGAAAATGCCATCTAAGGGGAGCAGGATAAGGTAGGAACACAGGAGAAGCAGCCAAAGAGGTAGTATAATTGAGCATAAGAGGTAGTATTATTAAATATAAGAGACATAGTATAATTATAAAAGCTAAGCAGAAGGAAGGATGGCAAAGAATTGAAAAGGATGGTGTGACTAACTGTACCAAATAAAGCCAAAGGTCTGGAGGACAAATTTGATTATCCATTTATGACCATAACAAGCTAGGTGCATAATGGCATTTCTTTGTGTCATTTTACTCAAAGCTTTCAGATTCATATCTTGACTACTGAAAAAAAGATACCATTTGTAATATTGCTTTAACTTATTATTTCAAACACAAAAAGGATGTTTTTGGGGTGGGGTTGGTGGCTGGAGAATGGTTAATAAAGAAAATGGAATGCTTTCATAATAAATTATCTTGAACCAGTTCACATCATAAGATGAAGAAATGTCATTGAAGAAGTCTGCCTCATTTCCTCTCTAAATGCAACTCATTCCACTACCTCCTGACCACCCCCCACTAGATGCAATTAAACAAAACATAAAAAATTCCTAAGTACAGGATTTAGACAAATCAGTACACTTAATTTACACTGCATAGTCAATGCAGTACAAACTGCTCTGAAGATAATAGGATGTATTATACCTGGCAATAAAAGGATCATGAAAAGCAGCAACAGATTAAAAAAACCCCAAACTTTTAGTTTGTTAGCTAGAAAGATTACCTCAATAAATTAGATTTCCACATAACACTTTTCATCTAACACCTAATTTGCCTATTTGGCAATGGAGGACTTCTTTGTTTGGGAAATGTATAAACAGCCTGATTTTAACACCTATGCCATGAAAGATCTGTCATTGTGATAAATGGCTTAATCATTATTTGCAGTTATAAATGATGAGTATCTTAAAATGTCAGACTATCACTCTTCATTATAAATTATGACAACGCTTGCTGTAGGAGGTGGTAGAATGATACCTACCCAAAAAGTACTGCTAAAAAAACAGAAACAAAATACAAAAACAAAAACACCACATACTAAGTCCCAGAGCAGAACTACCCTTCTGCTGGGTTATACCAGTCAGTAGTATTTTGGAGCCTTACACCAAAAATGTTACACACACACACACACACACACACACACACACACACACACACACACACACACAAAATAAGGAATAACTGGTGCAAACAAATACCAACATTTAAAATGGGAGTATCATTTTGTTTTATTGGTATACCCCTAGCAATGTTTTTTAATGCATCATACCAGGGCACCTTCCTTAGTAGTGCACATGCTGCTGTGTAGTTTGGATCCCTGCTGGGTTACAGGCAGCATAAACAGGCCAGTCATAGGAGAGAGACAGCAAGAAAGGAGAGACAAAAGTACAATCATGAAAATCAAGACTTTGAAATTAAAGAGAAGAATATTTTGAAAGTAAAGAGAAGACAGCAACCAAGGCAATGGAGAAAGGGCAGAGGGAAAGACTACTTTCCACTCCAAAGCATGCCAGTTCTTTTGGAGATAACTACAAGGAAACTGAAGTACATCTGCCCTTTTCTGTTTCTTCATGACGGATAAAAACAACAGGAGAAACATGTCAATTTTTCAGTTATTTTTTAAAGACAGAATTCAGGTCCCAACTATCATGAAGGCTATGGTGATTGAAGAACCAAGTGACACTGACATGATAAAAGACGAGAGCAAATGAGAGAACGTGAAAGCTTTTGAGAGATTGTTAAAGACTCTAGGCCAGTGGCTCCCAACCTTGGGGAGTGACCCAAATCAGGGTCGTGGGGGGGTCTGCCCCTCACTCTGCCCCTCCTGCCTGCATGGTTCACACAGCTCTCACCACTGTTGCCCCCTGTGATCCCACTCAGCCCAGGCGCAGCTGGGAATAAGCGAGTTGGTTGCACGGGCCACAGAAAAAAAAAAAGGTTCAGAGCCACTGCTCTAGGCTTTTCTCTTAATACACATTTAGCTCGTGCCCAATGCGCATAATGGGAAAACAATGTTTTTGTTAGAGATTTGTAAGCCCTGCACCTTCAGTGATGGTGGGAAAGCTTGCCCGAACTATACTCTAATATCTATTTTAATAGGTTGCATCGCCTCCGTGAATCTACTAAAAAATCTCTTGAGTATAGCATCACACCATTCCCACTGCAGGAAAGCATATTTTCCTGGAAGATGATGTTCAGTTTGGTAAGCAACCCCAGACTGCTGCCTCTGTTTATGGCCAGAACTGGCGTTTGTCACTGGGTGGCTGGCAGCGTCCCTTGTCCCTCGTTATTTCAGAGCTGTTGACAACTGTTGCTCTAGAGGCTTCTAGAGTTTAGATGCTATCAAACCACAGTGAGGAAGTGATATCATTTTTAACCATTCCCATCCTAAATACAGGGAAAGATCCTGAGTTGCACAGAAAGGAAGCCAATACCATTTTGTCTGGGCTTTGCTTACATTTTGGGGCCTCAAAAAAGAAGAGGTGTTTGAATTTGACAGCAATAACCTCTGATGGCAAGTTATTACTAGCCAAAGAAAGAAAGGAAAATGTCAGGGGAAGTCTGACCATAATTAAATAGCCCTAGATGTTCTGGGTCAGCCTTTTTGAAGAAGCAGATTTCTGATCCTCCATATCACAGAAGTTAAAAATGAGTGAGACACTTTCTAAACACAGAGTCAGACAATCTCCATTCTGAAAAATGAACGTTGGATCAGACTATTTGTTTGTCAAAATGTTTCAGGTGTACATAGGGTATGAATACAAAATGGATCTACGACTTTTCAGTTTTCACAAACCTGGGAACTGAATTGTGGAGGAACAGAAGGTCCTACGGGACAGCTGTTCTCCTCAGAGTCTTGTGAAGGTTTCCTAAACCCAGGTGGCAATGCAGGACCTATAACAGGCCTTAAAGAGAGGGAAAAAAATAATGTTTTTAAACTAAGAAAATAAAATGACATATCAGCATGAAAAATACACTAACAGTAATAACTTTCTAATGTCAGCAAAAGGAAACAACATACCACTAGGTCAAGAGGCTCAAACCAGTAGAGATGAGGCAGCTGTTTTCTATCCATATAAAAGGGGGCGCACACACCCCACATATCCATTTCCATATTCCAGGAAGACCACTGCATGAAGATGAGATGCATGGGGGGGAGGGGAGGGGAGGGGAGGAAGCACTAAGAGGGGAGTAATCAGCAGTACTTCTGTCCACCCACAGCTACCTTCATGGGAGCACTGAAGCCTGGGGAGAAAGTCAAATGAACCCTTTAACTTTCTGCAGATGTAACGAGAGGGGAATGAGAAGGAGCTCTTCACTCCATGAGGTCTGTAGGTCCTCAGGAGTGCACAAGCTGACCAGCCCTCCTCAGTATTTGCTGATGAGCCCACTAGCATGTTAGATTGTACTGAAGGGGAAGAGAGGAATAGAAAAAACAAGCCTAAGGAAATTTGTTGCTGTCAGGCCCACTATCATGCCCATTCACTCTCCTCTGCTGAAGAGACTCTCAAAAATGATGAGAGAAGCTAAAAAATACAGAACAAAACAAAACAAACCCCCCCAAAACCCAGAGAATGCTCAGGACACATTTTTTAAAGGGAACGCCAGTAGAAACCTGAGCTGTTTAAAATATTGTAAATGTGATGTGTCCTACTAAATCTCTATTTAATTCATTCCTTCTTATTTACCCTTATGACTCTCAGTCCAAGTTTTTGTGCAATCAAACATAACACATTTAATTGCACTAATTTTGCTCGTTTATTAAATCCAGTATAATCTAATAAGTAAAGCCTTGCAGAAGGGAACCTACTGCCAGGATTTGAAAGAACACCCTTCAGACATATGTTAGTCAGAGGGTTAAACCTAGTAGCTGAAGGTAGACACAGACAAGAGCCGTGTGTACCAGGGCATCTATCAGTGAGGGTCTGGGCAATCCCAAGTGAGAAGCCCAGGGTACTGGAATACTTGTGTCATAAATGAGTAAGGTATTTTCCCGCTGGCATATCCAGTCTATCCTGGACACTATCCTGGCCTGCTCCATCTTTCATTTCAGCCTTTAGCTTAGTTTGCTAAATTTGAAACTCCACTTCCACCTAGCTGCTAGAAAACAGAAGCAACTTCTTTCCCCCCACCTCCTGCTTTTTGCCTATTAAGGCCTTATCTACATGGGAACTGTTTTCAGTGCAACTTAAATGGATGAATTTAAATTGATAATTGATGTGGATAAGTAGTTCTCAATGTTTTTACACTCAATGCACCCTCCATAACTTTTCTGAATTTAGTGGCACCCCATTTAATAACTAATTTCACTTATTTTTTGACAACAGAAAAACAACACAGCAATTCTTCTGTTGCAAAGAACCCAGAAAGACCACAACAGGTCAGAATGTTTTCAACACTGTGGATTCCTATTTGAAATCTCCAGGTTTATCCTATGAATCACGTAGGTATTTGTACACCTAACAGTACTAGAACTATTGCACAGCACCCTAGCCAAGAATCACTGATATAGATATTGACGCACTGATTTAATTTGGTATAAAAATGCCTCTCTTAGTTTAGCTTGGGGCAAGTTTTAAATTTATTCCCCTCTATTCAGCACTAGTGAGGCTACATCTGGAGTCCTGTGTCTAGACTACAAAAAAAGATGTGGATAAATAGGAGAAAGTCCAGAGGAGGGCAACAAAAATGGTTAGGAGGGTGGGGTATATGCTGTATAAAGAAAAAAAAAAAAGAGGGAACTGGGCTTATTTAGTCTGGAGAAGAAAAGACTGAGGGAGGAGAGCAGCCTTCAACTACCTGAAGGGTGGTTCCAAAGAGGATGGAGCTGGGCTGTTCTCAATGGTGGCAATAACAGAACAAGCAGCAATGGTCTCAAGTTGCTGTAAGGGAAGTTTAGGCTAGAGATTAGGGAAAACTCTCTCACTAGGAGGGTAGCAAAACACTGGAACAGGTTACCTAGAGAGGTGGTGGAATCTCCACCTTTCAAGGTTTTTAAGACCCAGGTAGACAAAGCCTTGGCTAGGATGATCTAGTTGAGGATGGCCCTGCTTTGATCAAGGGGTTGAACTAGACCTCCTGAGGTCCCCTCCAACCCTAATTTTCTACAATTCTATCAAGTCAAACTGAGAACAAAAAACACAACTCCCCCGCACAAAAAACCTCTAACACTGAAATAAAAATGTCCACATGCCAGTGGTTGCATCTGTGTAACTTACAAATATAACCCATGAAACTTTTCCCTGCAAAGTGCAGGGATCAGCTGTCAAATCCTCTGCCCTTCTCCTAACTTCTGGGTTGCTCCAAGAAAGGGGAAGGAAAAGGGTTTCTAATACTCTATGCCTTCCACAGCCTCCAATTTTCTTCCCTGTGAATCTCTCTGTTGCTGCTCAGGGCTTACCTCAGGAGCTTGAAGCTGACATGATTCTTGGCATTTTCCTGACTATTAAAGTCTCTCTGAGGACCAAAGTGAATCTAAACAAAACCTTGTTAAATAGGCCCTGCTGCTGTCTGGTAAAGCCTGGAGAACATTCCACATACTCTTGACAGACAACAGTGCACCTGTCTAGAATGGCAGAAAATTTCAGATACAAAAGGGCAGGAAACCAGTTTTTAAATGAAACATCATTTCCTACAAATTTGATGCAATTAGAACCCAGAATCTGCTTGCAAAAGTCTTATGAGCTGCATACAGGCATTCATTTCTAGCAGTGGAAATTTTTGAGAAATTTCCACTGCTGGAAATCGTTGCAGGAGACAGAACAATATAGGTGTTCAACTGGCCCCTCTCCCTTGCCTTCGAAGGTGTGGGGAGCAGAGGCCACCCCATTCTTTCCAGTCTTACGGGCCTGGAGTAGCCCCTGGGGGGGTGGGGCACAGTAATGGGGGACAAAGACCCCAACCTGTTCTCCAGACCAGGCAGTCCCTGGCCTGGGGAAGAGGCAGAGCACATTGCCTACTGCTCCTTTCCCCTTCCAGAGCAGTCACACAGGAAGAGGTGGGGACTGGAGCAGAGGTCGAAGCCCCTGGCCACTTCTCACACCAGGGACTCCAGTGTGAGAAGCAGGTAGGGGTCTTGCAGCGCTGCCCACTGCACTCAGACTGAGCAGCAGAGAAAACTCCCCACCCATTCTTCACACAGGGGACTCCAGTCTTAGGAGAGGGTGGCAGCATCTTACCTACCCTGGTTCCCAGCCCCCAGGAATTAAATTCTGCCCCTTAAATTCTGCATTTAAAACCCTAGGGACCAGGAACCAGGCAAGGGAAGCCTCCCTTGTCCTGGTCCCAGGGGCATTGCAATCCCTTCCTCTGCTGCACAACTACACAGCAGAGGATAAGGGGAAGCCAAAGAGAGCTGGTAAAGCAGTTCTCCACCCTTCTGCCTCTTCCTGAGCCAGTTCAGGATGGGAACTGCAGGGCAAAGCTTCCAACCTATTCCCCCCTGGTTTGGGGATGAGTCAAAGGAGCAACTGTTGCTGTTCCCCTCCCCTCCTGGACAAGACCGTAAGGGGATGGGCCAGCATTTTTTTTTTGAGAGAACATCTGAAAATTTAGATCTTTTCCTGGAAGAGGCATTTTTCACCTGGGAGAGATTCAGTGAACATTTGTATGGCTTTTCATTTCTATTGGGTGAATGGCAATTCTCTCAATAGAAACTTGTATGTAGCCCTAGTATCCACTGGATTTTTCAGGCTTCAGCTGATGTTACAGTTGAA